TCAAGTAACCCCCATATGCAAGTTTTCATCGACTTTGGTGAAAAAAGTGGTGGGCGCCAAATTGGCGCATAATGGCGCCAAATGACGCCAGCGCTCGAAACGGATGTGATATTCGTGATCAGCGCATCGAATTACATCTATAGGCAACGTTTCAGCGAAAATTTTTTTTGAGTTTTTTGGGGTAGGAATAGTTCAATAGTGCCAGAATTTCGAGACTGATTTAGCTCATCCCTTTGCTTACAAGTATTTGATGTTCCAAGAGATAAGTGAGTTTGGGTGTGCGAATGTGCGATGGGCGAATAAAGTACACTGTGTGCTATGCGAATGAATGAGCTGTGTAAAGTGTTAATATTTTATTTCTTCTAAAGTAGCACGAAAAAGAGATAGTAAGCTAGTTGGGAGGGAATAATTCATTCATGAAGTTGCCGACAATAATATAATCTGTTGATGTACAAGTGCGAGGTGCATGCGAGATAAAAGTAACTGTATATTTATAAGTTACACATGTTAATGGAGAGACGAATGAGCAACTATTAAAACTGAGATAAGTGTGTGACCTGTTGTTATAGAAAAATGAGGTACATAAGAGATAACAAGAACGGTATATTTCTAGAGTTATCACATGTTAATCGAAAGGCGAATGAGAAACCTGTGAAACTGAGATAAGTGTGTGTACCTTGATATAGGAAAACGAGGTGCATACGGGACAACAAGAACGGTATATTTCTGGACCTATCACGCGATTGAGAAACTACTAGAACTGAGATAAGTGCATGTCCCTTTACATTATAGGAAAATGAGGTACAACGAGATGATAACGGTATATCCCTAGGGTTACCACATGTTCGTCGAAATGACGAATGAGCAATTGCTGGAATGAGATGAACTGTATATATGTTTTGTTGATCTTTTTACTTCCAACAATTCTCGAGCAGTCGACCTCATGCATATCCCTTGAACAACTGAATTGCTGTATCACTTACTACACACGTAACAACGTTTGGTTTAAATGCATACCTTCAATAGGAGTTCTAAATGATGCTGCATTACCACGTGAGGATATCATATGTACGAATTTATGAAGCTTTTCCTCCTGAAATAACCGGTGTTTTGCGATAAGTTAATTTCTATCAATTGTAAAATTAATCAATCATAATTGATAATAACAATAATAAATAATAATCAAAATAGGATAGTAAGCTGTGGTTTGTAATGGAAGACAATGGATTGAGGTATCATATATGGAGCATTCCCTTGAATATCTCCACGTCGATATCCATTGTTTTCAATACGAAATAAGCACGACAACACCGTGACCCTGAATTGAAAAATATCGACCTTGAACGGAAAAACACCTTAAGAACGAGCGGTAAGACGCGATAAGACCAGCTTTGCGAGTCTTGCTGCAAAAGATTCATAGTAAAGCTTTACTTGAAATAATAGTTCTGAAGCTAATTATTCTGAATCCCCTTCTCTCATCCTTTTGACTTCCTCATGTAAATCTTGCCCTCGTCTCTTTCTTTCCACGATATAAACGAATCTCTTGAAGAAACCTTTACACCTGTAAGTTATTGTCTAACAGTAACAAACTAAACGTTACCTGGTGCAGCTGTATTTTGGTTAGCTGAGGTTTGCCTCCAATTCCATTTAGCTCTGGTCGAGGAGCAAGCGTATTTGAAGATGTCTCTATAGTTCCAGCTGTCGACTGCATGCGATTCAAAATATCCTGCAACGGGGCCATTGCCTCATCCGTATCTAGCTTTGCCAACAAGGAAGCCTTGGCATCTATAGCGGCATAAGTCTAGAAAAAGATCTCGACTTTACTCCTTCATTCAGGTCTCTTCTGTGCTCAGATACTCACACTTCTGATAGCATTGAGTTTCTGATAACGCGCTTCTTTGCGCTCCTGTGCCTCCACGACGGGAGTATCCATTTCGACTACGAAGTCTGGCGCGTTTTCTTGAACACATTCCGAGGGCAGACATTCTGGGGTTAGTAGTTTAACAGCGTGTTTATGGGGACAGCTGACGCCAGTCCTATTGTCCATGCATGTACAGCTCCATGCATAAGCACAAACCCCGCAATTGAGACAATGTGTGTTCTTCTGAAGAGATTAATTGTTACTCGACATCAGTAAGCTAGTCGTTATGAGGAATGGTGGGATTACCGCTGCATCACAAGAGCAAGGGCCGTCGAATGATACTTCAAACGTTTTTGTCCGTGCTCTGTTCAGCACTTGCCACCTGCCCTCCCCTGTAACGGTCACCAGGGAAGGGTGATCAGTATATAATTTCACAGCTGTTCTGTGTCTTTTGTGTGTCTCCATGAGTCTGTATGAAGAATTTGCGCGTCTGCGCCTATCCTGCAATGACGAGATCATCACCTGTCACATCTTCGCCTGATCACAACCACCCTGCCCCTTCCCAACTATTCACCTTAACTTCCAAAGACTCCGAAATATCCTCAACAGCTTTCACCAAAAGGTCGACGAAGCTGTCCACACGGGAGTTCGAATTGCGATGAAGGAATTCATCTTTAATACGCAGATGAAAGCGTTCACTTATCATCGTTGTATCGAGGACAGCACCCCGATTCGCGAACGATGCCCAGGTAGGCGTTCTCCCTCAAGTACAACACATTAACCGGATACCGAGTTAGTGGAAACTATGCAAATGAGACTACCTAAATAATTTTTTTCAAGATATTCAGCCATGGCCTTCTGATTCATTCCGTGCAGATAAGCAAGGATATCTGCAAATCGCTTCATGAACTCGTCCAATTGCACAACCAGCAGTAAACGGCGGAAGTGAATCGTTCACAGTTGAACGCAGGGGCGCCTTAATTTCTTCGGTCTTTTTCAATATTGCACTTGGATGCCCTCCTGTCCAACCTCCACCAGTTCCTTGATTTTCCTTTCCCATGTCTGGCTTATGTGAAATCGACATAGATGCAGTCGAGTGTGTGCGTGCGGAAAAACTGCCTTGAACCCGTTATAAAAGCAAGGGGCCTCGTCCGTCACAATCCTTTCGGGAGCAAACGTGGGCATTATTTGCCTGACTTCTAAAAACAGCCTTTCCACGTCTGCCGTGGTCATGGTGCCGCTCAGTAGAAAAGCTGAAATGTTCTTTCAAAGAACAACGTTCATTTTCACTGGCGCACCCTTACATACCTACTGGGAGACCGCGGTCTTTCTCATCCATGACCATCAAAGTAGCTAATCGCAGACTGTATCTAGTCGTGTTGAATGTGTCGTCGAGAGACACCCCTTTTCCTGAGTACTTTCGGATCCAATCCGCCATCAGTGGTGTTATTATCACTGAATCGAAAGAACTACCAGCAGTTATGGTGCTATAATTTGTCGCTCTTACCTAGCAGAAAACCTCTGCCACTAGAATCTTGAGGCAATTCGAAGCACCTGATACCATCATCAACGTTGTTCTCCTCATGCCGCATTTGCAAAGAAGTGACATCGTCCTTGTGCCTCCATCCTGGTATCATATTGAACCTCTGCACTATATTGTGAAGATCAGCCTCCACGACAAACGAAAGTTTCGAAGACTTGGTTGGATCTTGCTTGCGCAGCCGATTGATAATGAAGTCCATGGAGTGCTCTGGAGCGGGTTCTATAACAAACTGTACGAAATTCCTAAGACCCACACAATAACCTTCAAGCATGTTCTTGAAGTACATTCTTTGCTTATGAGTGAACCTCAGCAGGGCTGGGTCCAGCTCATGCCCTACATGACCAAGGCACCCCCTTTGCAACGATTGTCCCATCTGCATTGATCTTCATTGCCAGGTGACACGAACAATGGCGAACATCTTTCCTGCTAG